CGCTCACTTGAATTTAAATAAGAAATACTGTAAACAAGATATGTGATAGTGGTTATTATTATATTATTACTATTAATAAATATATGAATAAAAGAAAAACAATATTAAAAATCATTATGATTCCATAATCCAGTGGTTATGTATGACACCAAAAATGTACACGCTATTGAAATTAAAACCAATAAATAAATGTATTTAAAATAAAAACACTCTTCTGTATCAACCTCATGGTGTGTGTCTTGTTACTGTTTTTATAAGAACATTTTTATATTTGTTTTAGTCACAGAACTATAACAGAAAACATGCTATTGAAATTCAACAATTAAGATAAAGCTGGCAAAGTGTTGTTTTGCAGTTGTTTTGACTTGAATTTGAAAATCAATATTTTTAATAAATTAATTTATAACACAGTTTTATTACACAACTACAATGGGTGTGTCTTGTTACAGATTAGACAAACATGTTGATGGTGGTTTTAGCCACAGAACTATAATTGAACACATACTATAGAAAATTAAACCAATACATAATTTAGTTTAAAATAAATACAATCTTCTACCTGAACTTCAAAGGCTGTATCTTGTTACATATTTCTTAAAGAACATTTTGCAGTAGTTTTCATTGTCAAAAGAGATGCAGAAGTCACGCTATTGACATTCAAGAATAGCTTGCGAAACATTCCGTCTCCAGTGTTACTGCCCCCTAGAGGAAGATACTGCAGTTGTTTTGGCTGAGTTTGACATTCAAACCTTTAATAAATTAATTTAAAATGCATACAGTTTTCCATCTCAACTTTTTACAACCAGCTCTGATGCCTATGTATCCTCTTCCTTGGACATAAGAATCACGAAGGTAGGTAACTAACATTTGCAACTGATTTATCAAAAATCATTTATGTCACGTTCTGCTCTGTGTAAAAGTGTTATTCTATTCTCTTGTTTTTGATCAAAGGTTTTTCTGAGCCCTTAGAAAAATCAACCTTGACGAGGGAAGAATGCTTGTTCTTTTAATGTTGTGATTGCAGGACTTATTTGGCGTATGCCAATGGACTCCAGCAATGTTCATCCTGGATGAGAAGATCTGAAATCAACATGTTGGCTTACAAATAATAACAGCACATTATTTCATTTTTTCCCTAAATTATTTAAATGACAGAACTAATTGTTTAGAACAAATTGTATTTAATAATGCAGTTTGTTATAATCATATAATCAATTAAATTAACTGAATTTTTCTGTTTGATTATATAGTAATAGTGTCTCTTTATTGTACATTATGCTCAGTTAGGTGCTTGAATTTGAATGTTGTGAATCGGATGCCTTTTATTGGATATGTAGAGAACACTTTGTGTTTAGTAAATGTTCTGAGTTCATGATTCCTGCTTTTTTCCCCCATCCTAAATACTGGTCTCTCGCCAGAACACAGTAGAAAACATGGGATGAGCAGTGCAAGCCAAACTCTTTAATATGTGTGATGAACACAGGACGGTATTTTTTCAATTGTATGTCACGTCTATGTCATGTTTACATTTTGAAGGTGACAAAATAAAGTGCTTAACAACTGTTTAACAATTAAAACTGAACCATGCTGTGAGATCTTTTTTACTGACTGGTTCTTTTTCTAGCTTCCTTATTGTCTTGTATTGTGTTTTGTAAGTCCTGTGACAACCACTAAGTGGCAACCCCAACTTTTCATGACATAAGTAAAATATATAATATGATGATGATTTGTTTTTCCCAAATATGGCTGATATTCTAAAAGAGATCACTAACCTCATAATCATTTACCAACATAAGCATTTACAATCATTTATCACATGAATACCATGCCTCTACCAAACATCAATTAGAACAAGAAAAGCTTTATTATTTACTTTTTTGCAGACTTATTAAACTACAAATATGACACAATAGTCTGACAGATTTATAAATACAGTTTAATGAGCAGGGGTCTGTTTATATGAACTATAACTTTGGATTGTGCCAGTAATCTCTTTTGAGCGGTATCAACCTAGTGGTACTAACATATTCTCTATCCTAATTAATCACATTATGTGTTTTCAGTGTTCTCGTCTGCTAATAATTAGGAACACAGATGAAAATGTCTATAAATACAGTGTCTTTGTGGTAATTGGCACCATTGTTACTAGGCCATATACAGCCCAGACAAATGGAGCCAAGTAAGGTTCAAGAGATCAAAATTTGTTGGGGATGGGCCTTATTGGCAAGTTGACTCCCACTGAAAATGGCCACCAATACATATGAGTTATCGTGGACTATTTTACCAAGTGGTCTGAAGCCTATCCTCTCAAAACCAAAAATGCAGAAGAGGTCACAGTGCATTCTTGATTTTTTTTTTTATTTTTTAATTTTGGGAACCGAAGTGATCAGATTTTAACTGATCGGAGGAGAGAGTTTGTAAACAAGGTTAATTTAACACAAATCAATTCAAAATGTATTGATGTGACCATAAACAATATATATACAATTATTATTTTTTCAAAGGTCAATTTTAGCCTGTGTGACAAACTGGGCATTACCAGGAGTCTCTGTTCTCCCTACCATCCCCAGACAAATGGCCTTGTTGAGCGAATGAATGGCACAATTCAAAGGTATATATAAATATGAAAAGACACGTTGAGTAGTTTTTGAATGTTTCATGATTTTCTTTTTAATTCTTAATGTTCAGAAGTCTGACAAAAAATGGTTGGGGAAAATCCTTCATCTTGGCACATACATCTAAGTGCTACAGTGTTTGCACTAAGAACAAAAAAAACAAATCACAACACAGTTTTCCCCATACTTTTTAATGTTTGGGAGAGAGGCAACGTTTTCCATGTGAGGTACCGAAGGATTATGAGGTTAGTGATTTGTGTACTTTGTTTTTGTAACAACATGATCTAGAAAGATGTGAATAATTATTGTGAATGTTTTACTTAGATCTGTCATGGAAAAGTGGAAGCCATGGTTGCCACTGAGCAACTTTCTGAGGGGTTGAGCGATAGGAGGGAGACCATGGAAGCTGTAAATCAGAACATCTCAAAGAGTCAGGACAACGTGCAGAAGAAGAAAATAGAAAGAGGGCAGGAGCACAACTTTGTGGTTGGTGACAAGGTATTGGTGAGGAATGTGTGACAGGAGAACAGAAAAGGTGGAAAAATGGACCCAGACATGCTTGGTCCATTTACTGTTGTAAGAATTGAAGAAAAAATGGTTGAAGTAGTTTCAAAGAAAGGGGGGAAAAAACAATGAAATTTAATACAGATCACTTGATAAAGTATGTTGAGCCAGAGCCCCACATTCCAAAAAATGGATTCCATCAAACTCACCCAGCCCATCTCCTCTTGCCAGTCCTCCTCTTCCCAGGTTTCCTCCTCCTGCCTCTCTTCCTAGTTCCACTAAGGGTCTGTCAGCCCCAAGCAGCACCTCCACCAATCCATGTTTAAGGTTCTTTCCTCACCTCGGCATACTGCTACCCACTCAGTTGATAGCTCCAATACACAGACTCAAGTGAACCCATCGGGCCCATCAACCCATCACTCTTGCTCCCCAGACACAATTCATGCATCAGCATATTCAGAAGAACATGGTAAATATTAAGTGGTTTGACTATATTTGACCGTGCCATAGCTCAGTATTTTACTTTGTGATCTCATGTGTTTCTTTTAGTGATAAATGATATATGGGAGGGCAACAAACAGCAAGTGTTGTGGAGCAAAATGGGCACTTTTTTTGAACCTTAAACCGCATGAACACATTTCATTACACCAAATACACAAAATAATGTTCTTTTTAGCAGCATCATATGACCCCTTTAAGCACTAATAACTCCTCTTATAACCATTGAAGCTGTCCATACTCGGTATGATAAATGAATCTCTTACTTACATCGTTCGTACATCTGCACTTTGTTGCTTATGATGAGGAAATTTGCGAGTATCAGTCTGAACAAAACTCTGGGCTTTCAGCGGTGACTGATCTGAACGCCTCTGATTGGCTAATGCATTCCTAAGCTCAACAGAATCGTGTGTGATTGATTATAATGAGCAATGCTGTAAAAACGTGTAAAAATAAAATATGTTGTAACATGAACAGGTCTAAATTTAATACAGCAATCGAAACTTCATTGTAAGTATTATAATTTTATTGAAAACCCAGGGGACCCCCCCAAGTATATTTTTTTGGGTGTTATGGGGGGTCCCTTAATGGGAGGTCCGGGGGGACCCCCGACCCCCCCCCTCAATTCGAACACTGTGTAAAATTGAATTATTTATTATGATTTATTTATTTTCCTTCCACCCACCCAATAATTTGAATATATTTATGAGGAGCTCCTCCTGTAGTTTGTGCCCTATATTTGTTGCTCCTTTTTTTCACCAAGTTTGTTATTTTGGGGGCATTTAAGTTGCTGCTCCAAGTTTATCTTCAGTTTTGTGCACTTAATTCACTTCTAATTTTTTTATAGCAAATTCTCATTTTGTTAAGTTAAATGTGTTTATTTTTGTGAAGTAAGTTTTCTCCTATTTCCCTCCTAAGTTAAAAAGTAAACACAGTAGCACAAGGAGCCAACACACCTAGTTGTTTATGCTTGTAGTAAGAAGATTTGATGATGCTGTTGTCGCTGAAGTCTATTCGTTTGAGGTCCATCATCTTTGTACTGACCACCAGATGATACGGTGGAAGACACCTTGGTCAAGACAGTGCTTGGCTCTAAGCAATGTTTGCAACATCAGGCTACGTGTCTGTGATTCGTTGTCATAGAGGAATCTGTGCTTTTGCAGGGTTGCGGATACTCCTGGATGAGGATGTAATCCTTTTCCTCTTCAAACCAATCCAGCATATACACAATGTAGGGGCTTAACGGACACTGTTTCATCGTCAGATTTATAGCCACTTCGGCAAACAGCGGCTTGTAACACTCAGGCTACAGAGAAGAGTTCAACAAAAGGTTAGCTGACTATGGGTGTGTTTGATTTCTCAGAATGCAGCGAGTGATTTTACCTGCTGTCCATTATTTTTCCGGATCCCCTTGTACACAGTGCCAAAGCCTCCTTCTCCAGTCTTCCTTCCCCATTCATAAAGTTCTTAGTCTTACATGAAGTCCAGTACCCAAAATTCCTGGGGCCCAGATCAGGCCCACACCTGACACTTTCATCTGGCCCACATACAGCGTGGAATGATGGCACTTGGGCGGTCCGCTCCTGTTTGCCAGATTTGGGCCACGAGCAAGCCAAAAGAAGGCCCAATGTCAGCCATGAATAAACCAAATGAAGCAGAACTAGCCCAAATCCGGGCCACATTTATTTTAATTCTGGCCCAGATACGGCCCAGATTTAACACCTTGTTCTGGCCCACATAGCCTACTACGTAGAATGATGGCATTTGTGGGGTCCACTCCTGTTTGCCAAATTTGGGCCACAAGTAAGCCATAGAAAGGCCGCATGTCAGCCATGACAATAAATAAATAAAAGAAAGTAGAACTGGCCCAAATCTGGGCCACATTTATTTAATTCTGGCCCAGATCCGGCCCAGATCCAACACCTTGCTCCGGCACACATACTGTGTGGAATAATGGCATTTGGGCAGTTCAGTTCTGTTTGCCAGATTTGGGCCTCAAGTAAGCCTTAGCAGTGCTGCATGTAAGCCAGCCAAATAAACGAAAACTGGCCCTAATGTGGGCCACAGTTGATTTTTATTCTAACCCTGGTCTTCCCCAAGGCCCTGTCCACACGAACGCGGTTATTTTTAAACCCGCATCTTTTCACATGCAAACGCAGCACCAGGTCACTGAAACCGAACATTTTTGAAAACTCCTGCCAGGGTGAAGATTTTCAAAAACTCCGGTTGCCGTGTTATCGTGTAAACAGCGAAACCGGAGTTTTTGGCTTGTGACGTCGGAGCCTGTGCTGTTATCTCTGCCTACTGGAAACTTTTTCAGGCTTCTGATTGGCCAACATGGCTTTACGGTTGAGATTATATCGCCACCTGTTGGTTTGGCATGCTCTTGACAGTGCTTCATGGCATGCGTTTGTGTTTTCATGTGGACGGAGATTTTTTTAAAAATGGAAGAAGAAAAAACTCTTTTTAAAAATCTAATTTTTAAAAATACCCATGTACGTGTGGACATGGCCATAGACACAAGACCAGACAAACTCAAAGTGAACATACAGGAACTTAAGTACTCAGACTAAACAAGGATAATTAAGTAGGCACACCTGAACAGAATAATACAATCAACACAACAAGGGAAATGGTGCAAAAGGAAAACAAAGTCCAAATGAACAGAAACCGTGACAGTAATAGTACAATCATTATAGTGCACTTCTGTTTTTATGCTGCACAGTACACATATAAAAAAACCTGCCATTAAAAGCATGTTTCAAAAAATAAATTGCTGCGTGTGTAGCCTTCTTAAGTCTCACATCCAGATCACCCTGCATCAGTTGACTGTGTTGCATCCTACTAAAAGTAGCCAAATTCTATTAGGCCATATTTACAATTCCAAGCTTCCATTTCAATTAGCCAGTGTCAAGTGTTACAACCAGAAGTGGTCCTCATCTGTTTTATTATATATGGGGCATATTTGCCATGTCAAATGTGGGAAAAGTTGGCTTACACACTGATTAGCCAATGCTGACTGTGCCGTATATTTGCCAAAAGTGGCCCAAATTGTTATTAATTATTTGGGCAATATTTGTCATTTTATATGCGGCCCACATTTGCGGCATCATATAAGGGCCACTTTAGGCTCACAGCCACATTAGCCAGTGCTCACTGTGCCATATATTTGCCAAAACTGGCCTAGATACAGTTTAGGATAACTGTGGCACATTTGTGGCATCATATGTGGGCAACTTTAGGCTCACAGCCACATTAGCCAGTGCTCACTGTGCCATATCTTTGCCAAAACTGGCCCATATATGGTTTAGGATAACTGGGCCACATTTGCGGCATTATATAAGGGTTGATTTAGGCTCACAGACACATTAGCCAATGCTCACTGTGCCATATCTTTGCCAAAACTGGCCCAGATATGTTTTATAGCTGGGCAACATTTATGGCAACATATAAGGGCCACTTTAAGCTCACAGCCACATTAGCCAGTGCTCAGTGTGCCATAGCTTTGCTAAAAACTGGCCCAGATACGGTTTAGGATAACTGTGCCACATTTGTGGCATCATTTGTGGGCCACTTTAGGCTCACAGCCACATTAGCCAGTGCTCACTGTGCCATATCTTTGCAAAAAACTGGCCCAGATATGGTTTAGGATAATTGTGCCACATTTTGTGGCATCATATGTGGGCCACTTTAGGCTAAAAGCCACATTATCCAGTGCTCACTGTGCCATGTCTTTGCCCAAACTGGTCCAGATACGTTTTAGGATAACTGGGTCACATTTGTGGAATCATATGCGGGCCACTTCAGGCTCACAGCCACATTAGCCAGTGCTTACTGTGCCATATCTTTCCCAAAACTGGCCCAGATATGGTTTAGGATAACTGGGTCACATTTGTGGCATCATGTGCGGGCCACTTTAGGCTCACAGCCACATTAGCCAGTGTTCACTGTGCCATATATTTGCCAAAACTAGCCCAGATACGTTTTAATATACCTGGGCCACATTTGCTGAAATATATGTGGACCACATTTGGTTTACACCCTGATTAGCCTTTGTCGATTGTGCCACATTTTTTGCCAAAGGTGGACCACATTTGGTTGGCACTATTTGGGCCATATTCACTATTTACCACATGGGCCACCTTAGGGTCACATTCAGATTACACATTGCCGTGAACACCACATCTTTGCCTACAGAGGCCCACATGTGATTTGATAAATTTGGGCCAGTTTTGCTATTTTACATGTGGGCCACTTCAGGCTTACATCCATTTTGTACGGCCATAAGAAGGCCACCAGTGCCGTATCATTGCTTTAAAGGGTTAGTTCACCCAAAAATGAAAACTAGCCTGTGTTTTACTCACCCTCTAAGCATCCTAGGTGTATGTGACTTTCTTCTTTCAGACGAATCCAATCGGAGTTATATTAAAAAATTGTCCTGGCCCCTCCAAGCCTTTCAATGGGGGTAAGCGGGTGTTTGTTGTCAACAGTTCAGAAGATGTGAAATAAAGTGCGCGCATCCGTAATAAAACGTCTCTCACATGGCTCCGGGACATGAATAAAGGCCTCCTGTAGCAAATCCATGCGTTTTCGTAAGAAAAATATCAATATTTCAAACGTAATAAACACTTTTCCATCACTTCTGCCATCTGTCACACGCGGAAGGCTTTCCGGCGGATGACGTAGGACGTTGGTGTTGCGTGATTAGTGACGAGTACGGAGAGAGAACAAAACAAAACGCTGTTCACGAATTAGAAGCACAAAACGGGGATTTGTAAAGAAAAATGTCGGAGGATTTCGATATAAGCCAAGAGGAGACTGGTTTTCCTTTGCTCCTGCATTTCTCAGAGGCGCGCCCACGACACCTACGTCCTACGTCATCCGCCTGAATGTCTTCAACGTACCACAGTCAGCGGAAGTGAGAAAAAAGTGTTTATTACGTTTGAAATATGGATATTTATCTTACAAATATGCATGGATTCGCTACAGGAGGCCTTTATTCATGCCCCAGAGCCGTGTGAGGGACGTTTTATTACGGATGCGCGCACTTTATTACACATCTTCTGAACTGTTGACAACAACCCGCTTACCCCCATTGAAAGGCTTGGAGGGGCCAGGACAATTTTTATTATAACTCCGATTGGATTCGTCTGAAAGAAGAAAGTCATATA